TATCAAAAATCAAATAACAGATAATAAATCGCTTAAAAAATCTATATCTTTTCAAATATTATTCAAAAAATTAAACTAAGTAAGCATAACATAAAAACAACAAAAGAAAACCCAAAAAAAAACCCAATAGGTAAAAATAAAATCAACACACATATATTAAAACATCAAAACGAAAACGAGGATAAGCACTAAAAAAATAATTAGACAAACAATAACATAAAAAAAAAATCTTATACAAAAAAGAAACTAGAAGTAAACAACTAAATACAATAAATTACCATATTCACCTAAAAATAACGAAGCAAAATCCACACTAGAATATTCTACATTAAAACCTCTAACTAACTCTCTCTCACATTCAGATAAATCAAATGGAGCACGATGCAAATCAATTAAAACTAAACAAAAAAAAGGTAAAAAATAAAAAAAAAGAATAAACAAAAACTAAAAGACAAACATAATCTCTTGTTAAATAACAAAAAAATAAGTAAATAAACAGAAAAAGCAATTTCATAAGAATAACTTTGGGCACAAGCTCGTAAACCGCCAATAAAAGAATATTTACCTCCACTAAAAATTCCAGATAACATAATAAAATATGCAGAAACACCCATTAAACAAAATAAAAAAACACCAGAATAGTCAAAAGACATAAAAACAAGAAAATAAGGCAAAGTAAACCAAAAAAAAAATCATCAAAATAAAACCACAAATAGGCATCAATAAAAAAGATAACCAGAAAAAATAAAAAAAAGTTGTTCTTTCTTTAATAACTTAAGACCATCAAATAATGCTTGAAAAACACCAGAATAACCAACTTTATTAGGTCCAATACGACATTGAGTTCCACCCAAGAGCTTGTAAAATAAAAATAATTGTAAAAAAAATACCAATATAATAAAAAACAAGCAAAGTGAAATGCAAAGAATTTGCAGTTCTCTATTCTAATATAAACTAACACATTTAAACATAGACACAAGTTTCCTTACCTCTATTATACTACAAACTTACGCCCCTGTAGACCATTGACGGATGGTTTGTACCACTTTGTTTATTAAATTCCTTAATATATAAAAAAAATTACTTTCTTCTCCAATTTCAAAAAAAAAATAAAATAATCCAAAAAATTTAATAATAGCAACACACGATTATAAATCTATAAGCCAAATATATATCTGTTTTAAATGACAAACATAAAAGCATTACAAATAAAATAAAAACTAAACAATCATGCATGTGCCAATAAGATATACTAAAAAAGAGGACTCTCCATACGTTCCAAAGAAAAATCCAAAGTCAGTCAATATTTTTTCGGTTTAAATAAAACTTTACTCTCGAATTAATTAATTTTGATTACCTGGATACTAATCCAGTTCAAAAACCAAACTTTAAATGTGTTTTAAATAATAAAAAAAAAAAGTAAAACATTTTACAAAAATAACATAAAAATAAAAAGATAAAAAGAAGATACAACAACAAATAGTTAAAAATTAAAATGTATTGCCGATTACTCTGGAACACTTATAAAACAATTAAAAAACTAACAGTGAACAAAAAACTGCACATTAAATAAACTAAAAATAAGTAATATTATCTTAATACAACCAAAACCAAAAGCAAACTTAATATTATAAAAAATAAAACATAACCTTATCAACACCAAAATTCTTAACACTAAAAAAAATAAATAAACCAACAACTCCGGATATAAGACCAAAACACAAAAATAAAAAAAAAATAATAGAATTAAAAAAAAAAAACATAAAAAATAAGCAGAGAAAAAAACAACAACTCAATACGAAGCAAAACAAAAATTGAAAAATATAAAAAAAAAAAAACAAAATATAAAAAACAAAAAAAAAAAAAAAATAAAAATACCTAAAGAAAAAACCTTTTGATTAAGAGTCAAAAATTTTAAATTTAAAATAATCCTTTAAAACATATTAAAGAATTTTCAACCTACTAATCAACAGTTAGTTATACAAAAATTATACTTAAAATTCTATTGGCTTAAAACCAGCCGCGCTTAAAACGAATATGCTTATTATACTAAAAAGCCCTTGTGTGTATAAAAATCTTAAGATTGCAAACCAAATATAATAATTTTATAATATATACACTGTAAAATTCTCTTATTTGTTAATGAATGAAATATTTGGTTTATTAAATAAATACAATTCTACTAGAGTATTATAACTTTTTTGTTATAATACTCTAATTATTATAAATAATTATTTATAATTATATTGAACAATAAAAAAAAATAAAGTAAAAAAAAATATAGAAATAATAAAAAAATCGTCATTAAAAATAAGCTATAAAAAATAACAAAATAAAACAGATATCTTACAAATAAAAAGAACTCAAACGTATAATAAACAAAACATAATACCCCACATTCACTCTAAAAAACGCCAATAATCAATAGATATATCATATGCTTGGTACCAATTAAAATTATACAATTTAACACGAAAAAAATTAATAACAAGAAAAAAAACACCAATTAATACATGACTTCCATGCAATCCAATGCCAATATAGAAAACACTACCGTAAATTCTATCATTTATAACAAAACAATTATGAGTATACTCAAAAAATTGAAAACACAAAAAAAATGCACCAATAAAATACACAACAATAGTTTTTCACATTTATTAATATTCAAACACAAATAACGTCGAGAATATATTAAAACCTTACTATTCATTATCGAAAATAAACTAGCTATACCATTAATACCTAGATAGTCCGGCGATAAAATACCAACAGGAGATTAAACCCCACCTAACCAAGTCAAAGGACACAAAGAAGAATCTAAAAAAGTTCAAAAAATAGAAAAAAAATAAAGTCAATTCACTAAATAAAAATAAACGAAATCCTTGGCTAAATATTCGATAGTCATAAAAAAAATATTGACCACTAACATCTTCCAAAAAAACATCCTTTATCCATAAAAAAGAAACGTACAAAAGATACAAAAAACAAATAAAAAAAACAAAAAATACCCATACTCATAAACAAAACTAACCCAAAATCAATCCCTAACACACCCAAGCCAAATATAATAGGATAATAACTAAACTCCATTTTGTGGTACTTACGAAATTTTAAAAAAATTATATTTTCTACCTATAAATTCTAAATTTATAATACTTATTATAATAAAAATATAATTAAATAACTTAAAACTTAAAAAATTAACAAAACACATAAAAAAAATAAAAATAAAATAAAAAATAGTACAAATCAAATTAAAATAATTAAAAGGATAATCAGTTGGATAATGACCAGCCCAAGTTAACCAAAAAAAAACTCAAACAAAACATATGGATAAAAAAATCAAAATATTGTCCATCATAACCTGATAGTTATTAAACCAAACAAAAACTAACAAAACAAAAATAGATCCAAACATTAAAACAACACCAAACAATTTATTAGGTACAGAACGTAAAATAGTAAAAGCAAATAAAAAATATCATTCAGGAACTACATGAGCTGGTCTAGCTATTGAGTCAGATTCAACAAAAATCATTGGATCACTCAAATTAAAAGAAAAATACAAACTAAATAAAACTAAAAAAAAATATCAAAACCATCCTTGAACCAAAAACTAGGAAAAAAATGAATCTTATCGTAATCACCGTGACAATATAACCTAGAACTAGACCCGGTGAAATGTAAAAAAAATAAATGAAAAACAACCAAAACCAACAATAATCAAGGAAAAATAAAATGAATAGAATAAAAAAATTTCAAAGTATTTTCGCAAACACTGAATCTTCCTCAAATTCACCATACTATATACTTACCTAAATAAGGTACAGAAGTTATCAGACTAGTAATAACAACCGCTGCTCAATATCTTATTTGACCCCAAATTAAAACATACCCAGTAAATGCAATGCCTATTAAAACTAAATACATAGCGATACCACTAATTCAAACACTAGAGAGGCGGTAGCTACTATTAATTAATCCCTTAAAAATATGTAAATAAATAAATAAAAAAAATATAGAAGCACCGTTAGAGTGCATGATACGAACAAGCCAACCCAAATTAACTTCAAATATAATATACTGAACTCTACTAAAAGCATCACCAGCTGTATAGTAAAAAGTTAAAAAAAAACCAGTAATAATTTGGGATATTAACATAATACCCAACATACTCCCAAAATTTCATATATAACTTAAACTAAAACTAGCAGGAAGAAAAATTAAAGAATTTAAAAAACCAACTAAAATTTTGGAAAAAATCTTCTAATCCAAAAAAAGAAATTTTAATTTAAACTAAATCCAAAAAAAAAAATATTATTCTAGCTGAGCCGTAATCAGATATAGTAAAATCTATTTAATATTTTACAAACCACGTATAAACCTATCACAACCCAAATTAAATCTAATTAAACTTAATAAAATAAATAAAATCAAAACCACCCAAAAAACATAATAAAAATTAAAATCATAGCAAATACTTAAAAAATCATAATCAAAATTAAAAAAAAAAAAATCATAATCAAAAAAAATAAAAAACAAAAAACAAAAAAAAATAAAAACAACAAAAAAATAGCCATAATTATAATAATAATTACAGCCAGAAATACTACAAAAATAAGTTAACAAAGAAAAAATACCACTCAAAAAAATCAATACAATAAAATAAGAATATCACACATGAACACCCAAAGAAATATAACAACTTATAAATAAAATACCTAAACATATCATGATGCAACTTTTCATAGGATCCCAATCTAAAAAACTTAAGCAAAAAAATAAAATAGATAAAAAAAAACTAAAATAAAAAAAATATAACAAAAAAGTCAAAAAATCCAAAATAAAAAATTCTATAACTTTAAAAAATAGAATAAAATCTTTAGTTTTGAAAACTAAAAGTTTAAAAATTTAACCTAAATCTACAACTACTTACTATAATAACCATAACCAACACGACGGTATCTATAACTAGGGGTATTCTTACAAAAAACCTTTCAACATAGACCATAACCTAAAATATCTTCCAAAAAAGAATCAGGTAGAGGAGGGACATTAGAGACATAAGAAGGACTATGACCATTATAGAAAGAAATACCTAAAAAACGAGAAAAAAAAATAGAATCAATCATCAAATAATTAAATAATATAAAGCCAATAAAAGTAATAACAGAACCTAAAGAAGAAAAAACTTGAAACATAGAATAGCAATCAGGATAATCTAAAACCTTACGAGGTATTCCCTGTATGCCAGCAAAATGCATAGGAAAAAAAGTCATATTAGTACCAATAAAAAAACAAAAAAAAATAGCAATCATCAACAAACCATCGAAAGAGACACCATACATATAAGGCAACCATAAACAAAATCCACAAAAAATACCATAAACAGCTCCCAAACTTAAAGTGTAATGAAAATGAGCTACAACATAATAAGTATCATGTAACACCACATCTAAGCTAGCCGCTCTCAAAATAATTCCACTTAAACCACCAACAGTAAAAAGAAAAATAAAACTATAAGTTCAGCATCATAACGGCTGCATTTTTTGGTTTGAACCAAAAAAAGTACCCAACCAATTAAAAATTTTCACAGCTCTAGGAATAGCAATAATTATAGTGGCAGCTCTAAAATAAGTACGAGTATCAATATCCAAACCAGCTGTATACATATGGTGACCTCAAACAGATGTACCTAGAACAGCAATTCAAATAGAAGCAAAAGTCATACTAGTTTGACCAAATAAACGATCCTTGTCAGTTAGAAACAAAACAGCCTCACTAATAATACCAAAGACAGGTAAAATAATAACATAAACTTCTGGGTGCCCAAAAAACCAAAATAAATGCTGATACAATAATGGATTACCACCATTTTTAGTATCATAAAAAGAAGTATTAAAATTACGATCAAACAGTAAAAACAACAAAGAACCTGCCAAAACTGGAACAGATAACACCAGCAAAAAAGAAGTCAAATAAGAAGTCCAAACAAATATACTTGCCTGATCTAAAGTGACAGCAACAGAACGCATATTTTGAGTAGTAACTATAAAATTAATAGCACCAAACAAAGAACCAATCCCTACAGTATGCAACCCCAAAATTATAACATCTAAAGAAACTTCTGGCTGACCCTCTACTCTTAAAGGAGGATAAAAAGTTCAACTACTTCCTGGTCCACCACCAATAAAAAAAGACTGATAAACCATCAACAAAGCCACAAAAGTAAACCAAAAAGATAAAGCATTTACCCGAGGAAAAGCCATCTCTGGAGCACCAAGTATAACAGGTAATATTCAATTACCAAAACCGCCGATCAAAATAGGCATCACTATAAAAAAAATCATTAAAACCCCATGCATAGTTAAAACAGAATTATATACTTGACCACTACCAAAAAACAAATAACCACCAGGCCTAGAGAGCTCAAAACGAATAATTATAGATAATAAAGATCCACCTAAGCCTGCCCAGTAACCTAAAACAATATAATAAGTACCAATAGTCTTATGATTAACAGTATTAATAATCCTCTGCTTTAATACATTACCAAAAGTCATACCACAAAAAATATTCATATTAAATAACAAAAATAAACCAAAAAAAATTATAAACCATAAAAATTAAAGGTAAACAAACAACAGCCCGGCTATCACAAACATACCTAACTTTATTGCCTACCATAAAACAAACCATAACATAAATAGAATAATAAAACGAAACTAAATAATAAATAAAAAGAAAAAAAACACTAAAATAAAAAACAGAACTAAACCAATTTAATATTAAATACTCAGAAAAAAAAGAAATAGAACTAGGAAAACCAAAATTAGAAATCATAGTTAAACAAAAAATCAAACAAAACAACAAATTAATACTAAAATAACCTCGCAAATAATAAACTAATCGACTTCTAGCAATATGATAAAACTCACCAATAAAATAAAATATCAAAACAGAAGTATATCCATGAGATAATATCATAATTAAAGCTATAGACTTGCCGTAATACAATATACTAATCTCAGATAATAAAACAAATCCTATATGACAAATAGAAGAATAAGCAGCCAAAGACTTACAATCACTTTGAAAAATACAAATAAAAGAACAAAAAACTATCCCAATTAAAGAAAAAAAAACTAATAATTCAAAACCAAAAAAATTCAAAGATTTCCTAATACGGTAAATACCGGCTCCACCTAATTTCAATATCACTCCAGCTAAAACTATACTAGTTCTAGTGGGAGATTCAACATGAACCTTAGGTAATCAAGCATGCAAAAAATATACAGGAAATTTAACCAAAAAACATAAACTTAACAAAAAAACCAACTCAAAAGATATAAAAAAATCATAATAAACAAAATTAAAAAAATTAAAAACATGGCTAAAAAAAAACAAAAATGGTATACCAAAAAATAAGGTATAAAATACCAAATAATAACAAGCCCTGATCTTCTCAACCTGACGACCATAACCTAATAAACAAAATAAAACAGGCAGCATAGTTAATTCGTAAAAAATATATAAAATCAAAAAACTTCCAGAAAAAAAAAAACAAACACTAAAAAAAACAATAAGACAACTATAAAAAACTAAGCCACCCAAAACCTCAGAAACACAAATAAAACCTAAAATAAATACACTCATAAAAGATAAGAAAACAAAATTAAAAGAATCAAAAAAAAAAAAACAACCACACCAAGAATAATCAAAAAAACCTAATAAAACAAAAATAGAAAAAAAAACAAAAAACAAAAAAGGACTAAAAAAAAATAACAAAACAATAAAAAAAAACAAATACAAACTGAAATCAATCTTCTAATTACAAGTTAGAAATTTTAACAAAAATTAAACTAAAACAGCAAAAAACAGATAACAAACCAATACAAAACAATAAATAAAAAAAATAATCATAATATTTCAAACCAAAATTGAAACCAATCATAGAGACACAAAAAAACAAATAACTAACACCCAAAGATATTAAACACATAAATAACAACAAAAAAAAATAAAAAAACCCAACCATACTAGAAGTGCCAAACAATAACAAAACCTTCAAAAAAAAAGTTAAACTCAAAGGAACATTAAAAAAAATCATCAACATCTCTAAACTAATAAAATTAATACCACTATTATAAATATAAGAAATAATTAAAAACATAACAAAATAATAAAAAAAAAACAAAACAAAAACCTCATTAAAAGAAAATATCCCCAGCAATAACAATCAATTAAAAGACTCAGTAGAACCAATAACAACTATATCCAAAAAATTACGTAACAAAAAAAAATGAACATAACAAAAAATCATACCAAAAAACAAAAATAAAAAAAAAAAATCCCTACAAAAATTCAATAAAACTACAAAATAAGGTAATTTCTGCAAAGTTAAAAACCATAAAATAGATCAACCCTTTAAATTTGACAAAACACTAAACAATCAAAAATGAAAAGGAGCAGATCCAGACTTCAATATAAGAAAAAAAAACTGAAATTTCCAACTATCAAAAACCAAAAAATAATAACCACAAACCTCCTGAATAACATAATAATTAACTAAACAAGAAGTTCTACCACCACCAATTGTTAAAAAAACAAAAACAAAAGTGCAGATAACAAAAACTCTCCATCAAACAATATAGTCCAACACACAAAAATTAATAAAACTTAAAAACAACATAAAAAAAAAAACAAAAAATAATAAAAATAGACGAGTAAAACCCAAAAATAGTTTAGAAGACTAAATAAAATCTATCTATAATATATAATCTTTTAATCGAAAATTAAAAATAATAACAAAATTATACTAATATTACAAAAATAACTAAAAAAACAAAAAAGATACCATAAAAAAAAAAACTAATAAAACAGCAACATGATAAAACCCACGAAACAAAGAAAAAAAAAAAAAAGAAAACAAACGAAACAATCCCACAAAAAAATAATTAAAACCTAAAATAAAAACATCAAAATAAAAAAAATTAGGAACAAATTTATAAATAAAAAAAGAATAAGAATCTATAAAATACTTATTAACAAATTCAATAACAACATAACGAAAAACATAATTAAAAAAACAATAAATAAAAAACAAATAAAAAAAACCCACCAAAAACTCAAAACGATTAAAAACAAAAACCAAACCTATCATACCAGAAATTCATCAAAAAGTAAAAACAACAGAAAAAAAAACCAGCAAAAAACAAGAATAATAAAACAACTTACTAGAAAAACCAACATAGTCAAAAAAAGAACACCCTACACGAAACAAATATATCATACGATAACAATAACAAAAAGTTAAAAAAACACCAAAAAAATAAAAGAAAACCAAAAAAAAATTGAAAGAACTATAATAAAAACGAGACATAAAATACTCCTTACTACAACAACCACTAGTGAAAAGTAGGCCACATAAACAAACTACAGACACAAAAACCTGCAATTGAACTAAAATCGGAGCACAAATACCTAAATAAGAATAACCACGGTAATCCTGGTTACCACAATTAATATAGATCAAATACCCAATTTGCATAAATAATAAACTCTTAAAAAAAGAATGCCTAATTATATGAATAAAAGAAATATAATGTAACCCGCTACCAATAGCCAAAAAACAAAAACCAATTTGAGACATAGTGCTCAAAGCAACAACCTTCTTTGCATCCTGCTCAACCAGTGCGCATAATCCAGAAAAAACTATAGTAAAAAACCCGACATAAAAAACAAAAGTCAAAACATCAGAATTTAAACAAACATAAAAATAACAATCCATCAACATAACGCCGGCAGTAACCAAAGTGCTACTATGAACTAAACAACTAACAGGAGTAGGGGCAGCTATGGCCTTAGGCAACCAACTGCCAAAAGGATATTGTCCACCCTTAACAAAAGCAGAAATAAATAACATAAAAACTAATAAAGAACTAAAAAACTGATAAGAAAAAACACCAACAGAAAAAAAAATAAAACCATTAAAAAATAAAAAAATACAAAAATCCCCAATACGATTAGTAAAAACAGTACTTATAGATCTACTACGAGAAACTACATTATTATAAAACAAAACCAAAAAAAAACTACTAACACCCAAAAAATCCCAAAAAATTAAAACTAAAATAATACTACCTCTAAAAACAATCAATCCACCTATTCTTAAAACAAACAAAAATAAAAAAAAAAAAAAATAAAACAAACGAGAAGCACCCTGCATATAAAAAGAACCATATACAAAAACTATAAAAGAAACCAACAACAAAACAAAAAAAAATAAACAAATTTCAAAATTATAAGTAAAAACAAAACTAAAAAAATCACTAAAACCACAAACATAAATTCACTTACCATAAGGAAGTAACAAAATTAAAAAAATTAAAAAAAAATAAAAAATAAGAATATACCAGACAAATAATAAAAAAAGCTTAAAAACCCTTTTATCGTAAATAAAAAATTCAAAAAATAAACTAAAAAGCTAAAAGACCAAGAAATGGATGAAAAAATGACACATTTGAGGAAGAAACGCAAGAAGGAATCACTAAAAATGATGATAGTTTTGCATATTTTTCCATTGCTATTAAAATTTCATTGTTTAATAGTCAAATATGTTTACTATTTCCTATTTACCTATCTATTATTCTTTTCTTTTTACACCATTAAATAATGCTAATAAAAAAAAAAAAGAGAAGAAACGAAAACAAATATTTGATGAATGTTTTTTCATATATTTGAAGTTAAAACTAATCATAAATGATAAGTAATCATAGATAATATAAATAAATGCTTCATATATGTAAAAAATTTCAATTAATTTACACAAAGAAAAAAAAAACTTTTAAAAAATGCTAATGTTGCATTAAAATCAAAAATAAAAAATTTGCAAAATTTTGTTACTTATTTTTAGTAAAATTGAAAAATTATTGATTGCTATTGATTAGTGCATTTCTATTAAAAGCTTTCAATGATTGATATGATCGAATAATGAAAATACCATTCGTTCAAATTTATGAATCAATCTCGATCATTGATGCATACAGTACTAATACATTAAATGTATTAGTGCATAAGCTTCAATGTTTATTACTCATCCATTTCAACTTTCCTGTTTTAATGCATTTTTACTTTCATAATTTCTGTAATAAAGAAAATAACGCAATTAAACAATAATAATAATATCAGTGATATAAAAGAATTTATTCTTTAACTGATTTGTTTCCATATTATCACATTATCATTATCATATTTCAATAAAATGTGAAAAGTTCACAAAAAATACATTTTAAAATACGGCGCAAATTACCGGAAGAAGTAAAACTGCAATGTTAGCAAAGTATTTAATGATAACAGTACAGTAATTAGTAACGAATTAAAAAAGAAAAAAAAAAACGAAATGAAATTCTGATGCTATATGATTATAGTTGTAAGATTCAATAAAATTTTGCTCAAAGTGAATTTTCAATTGATTAGATTTCTGAGAAAACAAACCGAGGAATAATTTCTAAAAAAAGAATGGATCGAATTTTTTGATAGTTTGCATGATAATAAAAATAAATTTATTATTTTAACTTTTAACATATATTCTACTTCTATGATCATCAATTTCATACTCAGATTCCTTTCATTTTGTCCCTTTTCAGTTATTAAATCATATCAATCAAATCTATCAAAAAAACATAATCAACGCACAACTTCCATACATAATTTGGGTATGAATTTCTTATGTTTCTTATGTTATCACAAACATTTAAATGAAATAAAATTTAATTGAAATGAATAATTTTTTGAATGAAAGTTTTTTTTTTTTTTTTTTTAAATCAATGAAATAATGAAAAACTAGTATAAATATCTATGGTCGAATCACTCGACAATAGATTTAATCATTAATAAATATTCAAGAAGATTATCTAACATTCCAAAAAGCTTTCTTTATCAAGGTAAAAATAAGTGTAATGTGTGACTTATAAAATTTCTTCCACTGTAGAATTTCTCCAATTCTACGTTATATTAACCATATTCATTTATTTTACCAAAATTTAAAACATTTTTAAACATCAAATAATAATTTCGTTTTTCTTAAAGTTAAAAGTAAGCGGTGATTCAAATCCTTCCATCATAATTAACACTGACTAATTTCGGTAATTGTTTTATTATTTGCGTTGCAGCACATAATATAACGCAAAAAATTCCATTTCTTAAATTCATATCGCTGATAAATTTTGTATCTCATTGTAAATCTTCGACCAAAATAGCAATCTGTGATCGCGTAGATCCATCCAATATTTCAGCAAGCCAACAGGACTCCAAAGTTATATGTTCCCGATAGGACTATTCATTAGATCTCAAACTATTAACAAAATATCCAGTTTCATAAGTTGAATTTCTATACAACATCAGGTTTGAATATTTGATAGAGCACGCGGACCCGAACAAGTTCTTGTGAATTATCACTCATTAATTATTATAATTTAAAGGAACTGTTTTACACAAGTTGACGCATATTTGTTTGATAAATTCCAACATAAATTCTTGAGAAGCAACTTAAAATCAAGCGAAAATACTAGAAAAAAATCATGAAAACATCTAGGTTTTCCTGAAAACTGCATGACTTCAAAAAAGATCTAGATTAATCTTAGATTTTAGGATGCTTAAGCTTGTGAAGATGCATTGAACGTTAATCATTTAATAACTGCAAGAAATTTTTTATAAAATTATTTAGCAAGAAATTTTCTACACGACAGTTACTTCATTGTTAAAAGCATTATGCAATGAATTTGGAAATTATGTCGTGTGGAACACATTCAGTTCCATCCAATAATCTTACATTGTTGTAACAGATATAATTCAAAGACAGTCTTCAAATCTTATTAAAATCATACACTCCTTATGACTTAATTCTAACAAAACAATTAGCAAGCCAAGAAAAATTCTTTTCTTAGTAATCACAAACTTTTTGCGATAAAACTTTGGTAGCATCATAAATTTACATTTCCCTGACCCTACTAAATGATTTGGTTATATGCCAATGAACCCTATATGCAATTTACAACCCAGTTCAGTGAAGAAATCTACATTATATTCAGAGTTCGATTTGGTTCTTCGATATTTCATAAAAACCAAAGCAGTAAAAAGCGATCATTGAATTACAATCACTAAATAACGAATAACGAAGAGAGATCATATATTCACTGTTTATTTGCTGTACCTCTGACATAAAAAACGATAATTGAATTTTACCACAATAAATGAATTCTACCAATCTTAAATTTTGCATTTAAGATTTCGACATAAAAATGATCCAGATGAGGTATATTATTAATACCCAATTTGAACAAATAACAAGAAAAAACCTTCTTCTATTATCAAGAAGCAAAAACTGTGTGCAACAAATTAGAATGATACAAATGAAGCGCAGTGTTTCAAATTGTTTTTTGAAAACCGCATCACAAAAAATTCTGAATTAACAGAATTGAAAAAACTTTTTAAAACTTTTTAATATAGCAGTTCTTCTTTCAAGATCACTCTTAAGATCTTCTGTATACCTATCGTAAAAACGATCCAACTTTTGACTGAATTTACGGTTCCTTCCACTAATATAATCAATTGGTGAATCTGGATCGAACATTCGCCGACGATGGTATTGATCGTGTTTCTTTTCTCTGAAGAATAAACAAGTATGGTCAAAATTGCGTCATCACTTAGTATGTGACGCTGGACAAATCGGTGACAAGTTAAATTTTTTTTAACTCATTTATATACTCATTTATATAACTGTTTAAAACTCATTTATATAACTGTTTACTACAAACTTAAGATTTCATAACATCATTACTCCACTGATAATATATACTACATTTATACATTTTTGAGAGCGTACAACTCATTCAAACTAAAAACGTCAATTGACAGATTAAGATTAAAAACAAACAAAAAAAAAAAAAAAAAATTCACTTTCTGTGCTTTGATTCTTCTGCTAGCCTATTTAAGAAGCATTGGTTGGATAATGAGTTCCATAAATGAGTGTGTCTACTCCAGGATAAAATTCGTTAGTACCACTAAAGTCTTAATGTTGTTTTTGAACAGAAAAATAAATGGTTAATTCCGCTTTTCATTCTTTAAAATAATACCTAAATATAACTACTCAAACAGTTTATTGATTCCATTATTTTGCTATTATAATCAATTCTCTCGCCATTTTTCAATGATAATTGGTACAAGAGATACAACCAAAAAACAGTGTTTAATCAAAATAATACTAAGAAAAAACACTTACATAACTTCTCTCATTTTTTCATAAGCTTTTATGTCAGGTTTAATATTTCCAGACAATCTTTGATACTGACGTAAAGTCATTGCTTCGTAATCTGGAATATTCATTTCAATAATCTTTAAATTTCAACAACCAGCTTAGCAAACAAAGACATATTAAGTTCCATGTCTTACAAATGTTAGAAAAAAATCATCGTTTATGAACTTCTTTGTAGATATTGCGAATCGGTCAGTAACTTTACTACCAATAAAAATTACAACTTCCCCATTCTAGGAAAAAAACCACCACAAAAGCCTCTGTCTGGCTTCTTCTTTCTCTTGATTGCCTTTTTGCGCGCGATCAAATCTGCCTGGGTTTTTAGAGCTTTTAACCTTCCATAATTTTCTCCCCGCTCCTCACCAGCCTGAAAAGAAATTTCTACAGCGAAACATTAATCGATAAGAAGGTAGCCAGGAGACATTATTAACAAGACCAACACTGTCAGTTACAAATTCTGACTAACTTCAGCAATAACTTCTCACATTTCTGGTGCAAACTCACGTGAAATGGAACGAATTAGCAAGAAATAGTGACTATGCTGTTTGGATTCCGATTAATTCTATAGCTTGCACATTTCGTTCCCTTACAGCTCATTAATATAGCGATATAATTGTTGTTATTAACAAAAACTGTTGTCTGGAGAGAGCAATCTAACCTTTTTCAACTCCATCTCCTTATGCTCCCATTTTTGACGTTTTCGTTTTAAATCGTAATTTTTCGGCAATTTGAGGTCCTCTTCCACTACTTATTGATTTTTTAATTTACAAGACTCCTGCTAAAAAATGAAACACTGATTTTTCTATTTTTTCTGGGAAACTTTAGGCAATCCGGTTATTTTACATTCATTTTGTTAAGGTTGGTTGGTCACTATTTGATAAAGTTCAATTGATATTCTGTTATTATAGCAAATACCAGTCTTCAACTTCCAATCTTCAACTTATGATGCAAAATTCTGAATTTCTCTTTGAGAGAATCTTTCGATGGAAGTTTCGAAACAGAAGCAAATGATTCCGCTAACGCTATCGAGATGACAAAATTCCTTAAACTACCGTATTTTATTCAACATCATCAACACTTAAACGATCTATCCCAAATTCGTCGCTAAAATTTTACGCAACTGAGACATAGCGTAATATCACAGAAACCATTTTACGCATTTCATCTACCACATACACATTCTTCTGGGAATGAAATCATCTTGCAGTGTTTGTAGTCAGAACGGTTCATCCTTACGAAACAATAGATAGAAGCAAATTATGAAATTAATGGGTCAGTGATAGTTAATGACTATAATAGTTGGCATATGATGACTCAGACCACCGTAAACCAACCCCAGATGACCTCCCCAGCGATATCCCCAAATCGACTAAACTCCCGGTTGCTCCCGATGTACACGGTCGATGTCAAAACGATGTACTTGTTGGCGGCTTGTCCATTAATCGATTGAGTGCTGTAGTGACGGAGAATGAAGTGCATTTTGTCTGCACCTCTCTCTCTCCGTTTCATATGTTATCATGCATAGTATCCATGCATATCTTTTTATGCCTGCACATGCGTTTATGTTTATATGTCTTATCGTGTTTGCATATTACTCTGTCTGCATTCTGAAAGGACGTAATGAATGATAGGACGGAGCATTTGCTGCGAGGAGAGCAGATAGAAAGCGGTTGGATCGTTGTCGTTGAGCTTCGGCTCGTTTTTTTTTTTGCATTTCTACCGGATTTGGACTTATCGGATTTGGAAAAAAAAAAAACGGTGGAGGATATACCACCTGCTAAACAGATTGATAGGTGTTGGTCGAGAACAAATTGATTAATTAAATAAATTGAAGTGAAGAAGAGTGAGAATCGTGTATAAGAGCTGAGATTAGTTCGCTGATTTCAGTAAAAATGGAAATTGAGGTACGACAAGACAACGGATTGTTTTACAAGGTTAGTATTTGATTTATTGATGAATTATGTTATGATGGAATGAGCAGTGATTAAGATCAGCTATGTTTTGTTAAAGATTCTCATATGATTAGCTGTAAGTGATATATAGTGAATTTAGAATGATAAAATTAATCGAGTTTTTTGCTGAAAAATACATTTTTAGCAAATAGCAAATTTTTTTTTCCATGCTTTTTGATGTTCACTTGGTTGTAGTTATCTTTTGGTGATTTGATACTTATTTGCGTTTATTTATTACTTCCTCTCATTATATTAAGCTACTCAATTTTTTATTATCATACCCTGTAGGAATTTCACATTGTCAGTAATTGACTGATGCCATCTATTAGCGAAGATGATGAATTAAGATGATTGTGATGAAGAAGGGATAGTGCTGGTCCTTTATTAATTGGTGTAAAGAAGATTTAGTGTCTTGATTTTAACAATAATTTAAATAACTCTAAGCTTTGGTTTTTTGCAGGCTTTCGTGAAATCTATCAAGACAGATACTGTCATTGTGAGTTATGGGAACGATGCGAAAATTGAGGAGGTTTAGTTCATTTTTGTTTATATATTCACTGGTGTTAAATGGCTGATTGTCTGCTGGATTTTAGAAATTGTTTTTTGTTGAAAAAGAAAATGATATTGAATTCCAATAAAATTTAGGTGAAATTTGATGATTGTCGCTTGCCACCACGTTCCGGAAAAGCTGAGACATTAAAAGTGGGTGATACTGTTGAAGCACTGATGAAACAGGAGGATGATGCTGTCTTCGGTTGGCAGATAGCCAAAATCAAAGAATTAAAGGTAAAAGTCTTGTTTTGCTTGTCTTGCTATCGCGAAATAAATTATTGGATTGTTCAAGTTTCCACTTGTTCGAACAAAAAACTAGAGCAATAATTGACAGAGATTTGTGCCAAATGATAGCTGACATGATTCGAACTCATCCACCAAAAATCTGATTATAAATGCTTGATTTCATCAAGGTTCATCACGATTATGCTGTATTTGTACATGTTGTTGAGCACACTGACAAGATGTGCGTATGGCTTCGTTAAATCAGTTTCAGCATTTTTAAATGATTCCTTGAAATTCCCCAGCGATGGTCGAGGATTTTTTTTTCCACCACTTGTGTATAATAATCTGTTTGAAACGAAATTTCAGTAGATTTTATTAGTTAGAATGTTTTTGGGACTGAGTTGTTTTTCTTCATACATAAACATATGATAATTTGTAGGGGGATTTAGCGGCAATTGAAAGCGTTGAAGGGCCGCACCATATGGATATTGTTTCACTAGAACATATACGTACGTTGCTGGTCAAATGTACTCCACTAAAAAAAAGTCAATTCAAACATGCTAAAATCACTGTACCTGAAGATCTCCGGGCATATTTCAAACGACCTGAGTCATATGCTGATTTCGCAGCCACTGTCAAAAGTGTATTTGTCGAATACGACGAGGAAAATGGAAATCTTCTTCTCTCCGTCAGTTGTTTTTATACATAACGGTCGTAGTAACAAAATTTTCTCATTAATAAGATTTTTTCAATAATATTTAGAAAGAATCATTTTCGATAAGTATCATGTTGTGCAAACTGATGGAGTATGGTTAGCAAATGATCGGGTAGATTTTTGTAACAGCGGAACCAGTGACTTTTAGAAGTTTACATTGTTTTTAGACATTTGAAGAGCAAGCAGTAAAACGTGCAACGATTCTTTCTGACATGTACTTCAAGGATTCTCGACAGAAGATGCAACTTTTGCAACGCCAAGAGGTTTATTTAAGAAGCTTCTCAATTTTTCTTCCTCTATTTACTAGTAGCTTTTTGGTGAGATTAAGTAAAGTTTGGTGTCACACACGTTTCAGTAATTCATGCATCATTTGTTAGTGCAAACAGCGTAAGTCATTCATGAAATCGTTAAAAAAGTGCTGATGATAATTTATTTGTTTATATTATGCATACGGAGAAGGGAAAGTAACAAAAAAGGACCTATTTTTCTTTTTTATGGTACATAAATTCAGGAAGCTGCTCGTTTGTTAGAGAACACATCAATGCATACGTCGGCTCATATGGAAGAATTTACGGTACCTTTCAACTTAATGGGTCTTGCGATAGGGTCACATGGAGCTAATATTCAAAGCGCACGAAACATTGATGGGGTCGAAGATATACAGCTCGTGGAAAATAACGATGGTCATACACCAGTACTTTTCAAGGTTAGCAATAACTTAAGCATCAAGTGGTTTATGACTTATATCAGTTTATAGCAATATTTGGATAGGCTATCTTTCGTGATATTAAATTATATCTATTAAGAAAATTCTGAAAAACTTGTAGGTATTTGCCCAAAATGCTGAAGCCGCAGCTGCAGCACGTTCACAATTGGAATATGCAGTGGAGTCGTTCGAGGTACCACGTGGAATGGTTGGCAAAGTGATCGGTAAATCGGGTAAAACGATTCAGGTGACTTCAGATTTCTACATAGAAAATAGTGTGTGAGCTCAGACTGTATTCGATATCATATTATGTTCATTGATTGTTTAGGATATCGTGGATAAATCAGGTGTTGTACGCGTGCAGATTGAAGGTGGTGATGATCAAAATCGAGTTGATGAGAATGTAAGATCGTTTTTGTTTTTTTTTTTTTTTATTTTATTCTTTCTAAATTAGAAAGTTTATCTGAATTTACTTTTATTTATTGTTCAAGTTAGTACTTTCATTTAGCCTGATGAACCAGTGCCATTTGTTTTTACGGGTACAAAAGACGCAATTTCCATGGCAAATCTGTTGATCGAATATCATTTGCGCCATTTGAAAGAAATGGAGGAAATGCGATTGAATGTAGATGAGATGCAACGACAACTCTATTCCAGGTCGACTCCTCCTCCCGCTGGAATAAATGGCAATGGGTAATTTAGAATTTGATGAAGCACAGCTGAAAAAATTTGATTGCAGCTTCTGATTAATTTAATTTAGGAATTTTTTTAATTTAGGATTGAGAATTTGCATATTTCAGTCTCAAATTTTGCAAACTTGTGTGAATGTTGGCAAAATTTGGTGTATTGCTTTTTCCTATTTATTATGTGAGTTGTGAAATTAAAGTTGTTTCAAACGGAGAATTTTTGCATGTAAATGGGATATTTGGGAGGTGAAACAGGTAAGAATGGAACTGGTTTATCTTGGCAACAAATTACAGAACAATAAGCATAATTTTTTGCCTCTGTGAGGGATGCTCTTTACTTGACTTCAAATTAATTCTGTTATCTACTTGGCAAAAAAAAATTCAATGTCATTTCTTTTAGCTATCGTTTTGAACGCGCTGGCTATGAAGGGGGAAATTTTGGAGGTGGACGTGGTGCGCCTTACAGAGGACGTGGACGCGGTGGTTCTTTTCGTAGTGGCTTTCGTCAAAATAGGGGTATATTTTACAAACATTTTCTGAGTTTCCTAAGGAATGGGATGCATGATGGGATACTTTTGGGAATTCTCAATTTCTAAAATTTGTTCTTGATACTTAAAAACGTCTAACTGCAGGTGGTGGAGATCAGGATGATCGACGTCGTCCGTTGGATGATGAAAAAGGAGACGAAAAAGAAGAAAACGTAGAACGAGATGCTCGCCGTATTGGCTCTGGTCATATACGTGGTGGCCTTCGACGCGGAGGTTGTTTTATTGCACTTTGCAAAAATATATTCTAGACATTGTGTCTTATTTCAAGTCGAGCTATCACTGTGAGAAA